GGGGTTTTTCCAAATGCAGGAAACTCACCTGCATAATTTGTGGTAACTATTTCTGGAAACCAAAACCCTGTTGGTTTAAAGAATAAAAAAAAAATAGATTAAGGATCATTCCTTCCTCCCTCCCTCTCAGGGTCACACTGTGATAAAACCGAGGAAGGGAGAACTGTCAATTACAGCCAGGTTAAAAAACAACAACAAAACTTCGCGCAGAGAGGCTCAAATCGTGCTTCCCCTTTCGGTACTCCACCCCTGGACCTGTTTTGTGCCCCTTCCAGTTCTCAACGGAGAGAATTTCTGCATGGAAAGCAAAGCAGTGACATGGGTTCGAAAATGGCAAAAAAGTCATGGTTTAATTTAACAGCGGTTCGTCTGGGGAGCCAGGAGTCTGTTCACAGACGATCATTCTGCTGCTGGCTGGCAGTGGCCAATGCTGGTTTCACTACCTCCTCATTTGCCTCTGCCCGCAGGTAGTAGAAGGGTAGCCCTGGGAGACCAAGCCAGGATCTGTCTTTCGATGGAACCGTTATTACGGGTAACTCTGCTTAATAAACTTGTTGGGTGATAGTGAGATATTGAAAAAATGGTATTTAGCAGAGATAAGATAGTCCAGCAGAGCCTGAGTAAAATAATTCAGACTGAGAGTCCATGCGTGATTAAAATATAAAGTTTTTACTAAATTCTAGCATGGGGAAGGGTAACTGGGATGAAAATAACAACAGAGCATAATCGGCTACATCCTTACACTCGGCTTTTTTTGTAGAGAAAGCCCAGCAGGAACTCATTAGCATAATAGGCCACACCCCTGATAGCAGAGCTCATTGGCCTATTAGGCCACACACCCCCATGTTACCAGAAGTGTGGTCATCCAGTCACACCCACCTTTTGCTTCTTATTCTGTTTACTTTGTTGTTAAAACCCTGGGCTTTTTTTGTAGCAGGAACTTATTTGCATGTTAGGCCACACACCCCTAATGTAGCCAACCCTAATGAGTGTCTGCTGTTGGGTGTGGCCTATTATGCTAATGAGTTCCTGCTGGGCGTAGCCAACTCAGGAGCCAGCCGGAACTCCGTTCCTGTGCGTTCCTGCCCAATAATAGCCCTGCTTACACTACAAAGACAAAACTAGCAGAGGAGTGAGTATGGCTACTCTTCTTCTTCAGAACACCAAACAAAAACGGGAAGAGAAGCCATAAAACGGTAATACACCTTGACACTTTAGTCCCAATCAAATCCCTAGACCAGGGAGAAAATTCCCGGGCATTCCTACATCTAAAGAACATTGTTTACATGAGAAACATGTGACTTCCTGTGAGTAACATAAACAAACATTTAACCCCAGATATACTGAGTGTTTTCAGCTTGTAATACCCAACAAAACTCGACACCTTGGTTTTGATTCCTGGTTTGACTGACCCCGAGTAATCACGTTGGAGTAGTTTATATTTGGATAGCCCACAAGCCATAGCTTAATGAAGCTACATTTTTTGCACGTCTTCTGAGCCGGACGGCTGAAGAAAATTGGGAGAGAAGTAGAGTTTCTCTTCTCTTCTTGTACCCATGTTGCATAATTATATGATTGTATTGTGTTATGATATAAGCAGAGGTCATTTCGGGGGGGATCGCGGGGGATCGCAGTTCCCCCGGGTGAGATACGGGGGGCGGGGCACATGATGAAGCCCCGCCCCCTGCTTCCGGCCACCCCACTTCCGGCCCTCATTCAGCCAGGAGGAGGCAGGAGAAGAGGGAGGGTAAGTTGCTTCCTCCCTGCCTCTCCCCACCCCTGCCTGCCTGGGGCCAGGAAGGGCCTTCGCGGGGCTTCCTTGCACTCCCACTGGCCTTGCAGGTCCACCGCCGGGCCCCTCATGGTGCTCGGCAGTGGAGCTGCAAGGCCAGCGGCAGCGGCCGGGACCGTTGGGGGTGGGGTGTGTGGCCTTATGACACACCTCCGGCGATGTCAGGGGGTGTGGCCTTATGACACACTTCCGGTGATGTCAGGGGGTGTGGCATATGCTAATAAGTTATGCTAATGAGTTCCCCTAGCTCTTTTTCTACGAAACAACCCCTGGATATAAGCCAATTTGTTCCTCATTGTGTCTGACCTCTGAAGAAGGCCCATACAGGCCGAAACGCGTCCGGTCAAGTCCATTGGCCCTTGTGTGTAAGATTTTGGCATTTTTACATGAGGTGTGATTGGGCCCTTATATGTTGTTTAATTCTTGGCTGATAAATACATGTATCTTTTTTATATTACATACGTTAAGTTTTTGTTGTTGGCCCTCTGTTCTGTTTGACTTACCTCTTTAGGTTCTGGTTCCCGGGTTTCAGGGTGAAGCCCCTCCTCCCTTTGTTCCTAGCAATGCTCCCTCTAAGCTGTGGAGTCTTGTGAGCGAAAATTCTGTTTTGTGAGCTACTGGCATTAAAGTTGTGAGCGAGCAATTTGGCTACTGCATAAATCAGTTTGCTCTGGAGCCCTCCTTCCTGAGCGAACACAAAAATGTGTGAGCTGGAGGCTAAAAAACTATGAGCCTAGCTCACACTAACTCATCTTAGAGGGAACACTGGTTCCTAGACAGTGAAATACCATGTTCCCTCTAAGCTGTGGAGTCTTGTGAGCGAAAATTCTGTTTTGTGAGCTACTGGCATTAAAGTTGTGAGCGAGCAATTTGGCTACTGCATAAATCAGTTTGCTCTGGAGCCCTCCTTCCTGAGCGAACACAAAAATGTGTGAGCTGGAGGCTAAAAAGCTGTGAGCTAACTCACACTAACTCACCTTAGCGGGAACACTGGAGACCAAGAAGCCCTCTGAAGAAAGGTTGAGGGATTTGGGAATGTTTAGTCTGAAGAAGAGGTGGAGGAGGGACAGGATGGCTCTCTTTGAAGGGCCCTCACTTAGAGGAGGGCGGGAGCTGTTCCTGTTGACTCGCAATAATGGGTTTAAATTCAGGTTGGGAAGCTACCGGCTGGATATTGGGGGGGGGGGGGGGGTTTAAGGCAAGGGTTG